TGCTACATTGATTTGTGAACTCTCTTCTGTCTGAGGTATTTCCGATGCTGGTATTGGGAAATCTCTTAACGTGTTCTGCCTTGTGATCTTTCCTCAGGTTCAGCCAGTGGTTTCGTCATCTCAGGTGCGCTCTGGGGTTTCGCACAGTGACTCATCTTTGCGTCGCCAGCAGTCGTTCGCTCCCGCCATCTCGGCTTCCCACTACAACTTCCCAGAAGTCTCGGCCCTGACGTCTGCCTCCGGCCCGAGTCTGTACACTTACCCGGCCTCCACCGCTCTCTCCTCAGCTTCTCAGGCCATGGAGCAGCTGCTTGGCCGTGGTCACAGCAGCCACGGACACTCCCCCTCCACCTATGCAGCAACATACACCTCATCCTCTTCCTCCAGGAGAGACTCGGCCAGTCGCAGGGATTCCGTCAGTAGTCTGCTGCACGGCCTCCCCACAGCCTACCAGCATCAGTTCGCCACTGGTTCTCCCTACGTTAGCGTGACGCCCCGGGCTGAGGCTTACAGTGCCTACCAGCTGAGTCCCAGGCGGCTCACACAGTACCCTTACCTATAGGGAGACACACACAAAACACACACACACACTTTGAACAAAGAAAACAAATCAACTTCCTGTCAAACTACCACAAAGGGACATTTAAACTGTGTTTCTAATAGAGTAACTGTCAATCACTTATTTGTTAGCTGCTTTTGTCCACCAGGCAGACCCCCCCCCTGCAGCTGTGGGCTGTTTGAGTGTTTTTGAGATGTTCTTTGGTATTATCTGATATCGTATCAGTTAGTCTTCCCTTCCAGGATAGTTTTTTAGCCCATATTTTATCCCCATCGTATCCCGATGTACACGTCTGGCATCGGTAACTGTATTTTACACCTGTGCATCTTGAGGTTGAGTGTGAAGAGAGATTTAACTCCTGTCACAAGCTGCAACGACACTTTAGGCGAGCTTTTAGACGTCTGTCTGATGAGGCTGACGAGGAACGTCACGAGCACCGTTATAAAGTTGTCACACTAATCAGCGAGGCCCTATGTTTTTAACAAATATAATCATGACTGTACCTTTTACCCATGTATGTTTACTCACAAATGTCTTTTACTATGTTAATTAAATTATGTTTTGTCGGTGTGAGGTAGGAAGAGGAACATCCGTGATGTGGAATAAGAGAAAAGTGGTAAAAACTGTGATGGATACATGTTAATTTAAGTGCACATGTGATAGTCTGTTAATGTAGTGACTTTGTTTAGACAGGATTAATCATGTCTGTTTTATTTCTTTTTAAACTGCATCAACTGAGTGCTGAATGTATTTATGAAGTACAGAGGAGTGGAATCACTATCCTAAAGAATGACGTGAAAAGCTTTTTGTTTTAAACAGTTAAAAAATAGAGAGAACATTTACCCATTTTCCTCTTTTCCTTGAATTATTAAAAATCAAGTTACATGTGGACTGAAAAAAAATTCTATTATCTGTGNAAAAAAGGAACAAAATTCATGCCCAACAAATGAAAAATGAAGATCATCATCACAAACAATTTACATGTATGATCAATACAATAATCTGTTGATTGTAAAAGAAAAAGGAAAAAAGTAGATTTGACACATGCAAAAAAATTCTATTATCTGTGAATCTGATTGCGTAGGACCTGCTCATTATTACAATTGATATATGGCCAGTTTTAACAGCTTTTATATATATATATATATATATATATTATGTATATTATTATGGTTGGGCTGAATTTTTGTCCTGTTTTCTCCCCATGACACTTTAGAAATGCTCGCTATTGTTTTAACAAACCACCCACACTGCTGTACAATGACAGAAATGTTTTTCCCGATACAGTCACTGTTGGTCTCGTCTGATTTCAGAACAGATTTCCTGCCACCACGTGTTTAGCTCGAGGGTGTGAGTGCTCGGATGGTCTCTGTGGGTTATGAAATCTTTTTTTTTTTTTTTTTGTAAACCCAGTTTTGTGTTGTACTGTCTGAGTATTTAACTGTCTTTCATCTTAACATAGTATAGTTCAGAGGCTCTTTGGTAGAACTAATTCAGGGAAAAAGGTTTCAGATCAAATAATCTACTGTCACTGTTTTCAATAAAATAACCATAAATTCAAACAGGTCTCTTTAATATCGTGAATCGATTTACTTTCCCTCACTACTCTGAAGGGAAACTGCTGAGAAAGGTTTGATGTTAGTCATCCATATGAATAAGTGTAACTTTAAACATCCAGGATTCTTAAACCAAAACCTGAAGCTTTCATTATCAAAGATTATAGTTTAACATATTCATTTACAGTTTTTTTCAACCGCTATGACCCGTTGTTCAATACTTTTAACGCTTTTTCAAAACTCTTCACACAGTTACCACAACATCAGCCTGTGTGGGCTATACAATTAACACAATTCTTCTTCTTTTGACACAAAATACACACATTTTACACATTTAGAATGAGTTTTAACTCCTTTTACACACAAGCTCAAACAAGACCAAAACAGTAGATGTTAACTGGTGAATTTTCAATTGCTTTCACATGGTTTGTCAAAACACAAAACCTCATGTTCAAAACTAATGGATTGAAGACTACATTGATCACAGCTGATTCCCGTCTCACCCAGCTCAGGTGCTGGGCTTTTTTCAAACACATCACCAATCACATCACCTGTATAAAGAACAAAAGATAAGACAAGGGATAAGGTGGAGGACATGAAAAAAACAAGTGAGAAAAATGCCTAGAGGTAGAGGGAGAGTTAGAATGCATGGTGGGGTTTAAAGAAGGGCCAGAGCTAGGGTGACAGGTGAAATACGAGCTACCATCATCGACCATGTCATCAACCATGGGTTGTCACATAGAGAGGCTGGAGAACGTGTGCAGCCAAATCTCAGCCGGAGCACAGTGGCATCCATTGTCCGAATTTTTCCAACAACCAACAGGTAGATTACAGTATTCACTGTATTGTAGGGCCTTTCCTACTGAACAGTGTAACATGAATTACAGTTACTGTATTCTTCTGGCCCCTACAGTAATATATGACTTTGTTCCTCTAAGGGTTCAATGTTTACGTCCTTCAGGGGCAGGGGCAGGCTTCTAAATGAAGAACAGGAGCTTGCCATTGTCAACATGGTGATTGCTAACAATGAAATAAAACTGAAAGAAATTCGGGCCAATATTTTACAAGACAACCTTGTCTTTGAAAACATCAGAGCAATCAGCCTTACATCTATTTCTCGGACCCTGGCTAAACACAGAGTCCTGATGAAGCAACTTTATAAAGTCCCTTTTGAAAGGAACAGTGTTCGCGTCAAGGAACTCCGTCACCAATATGTCCAGGTGAGGTTATTACTGTAAATCCAAAATACACTGTACTAATTGTGTGTTTTGCAGTAAACTACTATGACCCTATATACGTAAAGTACTCTAAATCATTTACATACATTTTGTTTGATTGCTCACAGAGAGTCATGGAGTTGGAGACCAATCAAGTCCCACATAACATAATATACATTGATGAGGCTGGCTTCAACTTGGCCAAAAAACATAGGCGGGGCAGAAACATCATTGGTAAAAGAGCCACGGTTGCTGTGCCAGGCCAGAGAGGAGCCAACATCACCATGTGTGCAGCAATATCTAACAATGGTGTGCTCCTGCATAAAAGTCAAATTGGCCCCTACAACACCGAATGCCTTCTCCAGTTTTTAGAAGAGCTGTATGATAGACTGGTACCTGAGGCGGAAAGGGGGCAGGGTGAGTTGGGGGCTAACTTGCTAACATATGTGATCACCTGGGACAATATGGCATTCCACCATGTACATGCAGTCACAGCTCGGTTTGATGCTCATCCCAGAATGATGTCCCTTTTCCTCAACCCAATAGAGGAGTTTTTTTCAGCCTGGAGGTGGAAAGTGTTCGATCACCATCCACTTGACCAAATGTCCCTCCTGGATGCAATGGCTGCTGCATGCCAGGACATCACAGCTGACAACGGCCAGGGCTGGATAAGGCTTGCAAAAAGATACTTCCCAAGATGCCTGGCCAGAGAAGACATGTGATGTCTATGAAAATATGTGGCCCAATGCTGACGACCGAGCAGATTAACTTTTTTATCTTCCTCTTTTACAGTGATTTCTTCTGCTCCTTTTTCTTTTTGTGTATTTGACAATACAGTAATGAATGACAGCTACATTTTTTGCTGATTTTTTTCCCTCTTTACTCTACTGTAAGTCATTTTCATTTGCAATACAGTAAAGTGTTTACTGCAAATCCTGTCATTTACTGTCTTCTTCTTTCATAAACATTCTGCAAAGCTGCTCTGACATGGGTCGTTCACTTTTTGTGTTGTACAAAAAAAGGAACAAAATTCATGCCCAACAAATGAAAAATGAAGATCATCATCACAAACATTAATTTACATGTACGATCAATACTATAATCTGTTGATTGTAAAAGAAAAAGGAAAACAGTAGATTTGACACATGCAAAGTGATTCAGTTTGTGTTATTCCATCAGTTTTTTATGACACTGTGCTGTGACTGACTAAATGTTTCTGCTGGAAGACAACGTGTGTGAATTGTGTTAGTGTATTATTGTATTTTGGAAGTGTGTGTCTGTGTTTAGTTACACTGCGTGATTTTGAGCATGAAATTAACTGTTTGGGGAATTGTGTGTTTCAGGTGATGTGCGTTAAAATTTTTGAAAAAGTGTTTAAGGTTCTGACAAACGTGTCATAGCGGTTATAAAAAACTGTAACAGCTGACATATTAAGCAAGATGTGTGGTTCACCCTGAGGTCACCAGCCTATCAGAGCAGGTGCATAGACACTAAAACACCACACAAAGGGAAACAAGAATATTTGATTAAATACTAAACACAGGTAAATATTTAGAAAATGAGTTAATATATTGTGTAATATTTACAGAATTGCTGTATCTCATATTACAAGAGTATAAACGTCAAGTAAAAGGTAACACAATCTCAGAATTTGAGAATAGGGTTTTATTTCACACAACATAGATACAAAACATTAATTAAATGTGGTAGAAACCAGTAATATCTATAACAAAATACAAAAATACAAATCTTCTGATATATTAATGTCACAATATATATCACAAGAATACAATCGTATTTCTAGGCTTCGTTTCATGTTAGAGGGGAATATCAGATGATCGGCTTGTTGCATTCAATGAAGAATGTGCAGCATCTAGTTCAGTTCTACTTTTTATACATTTTTAAATTAAAATCTTTTGTGGAGGAGGAAATATTTGGTGATGGTGAGTTACATCTGTGTGATATTCAAAGAGTTTTCATAATCTCACTGGAAGATTGTTCCAGATTTTGGATCCAGGAGTGAAACTCAGAAAAACAGTTTTCACAGCTGCTCATTTCCTAACTTTCTCATTAAATTCCAACTTCATCCTCTTAATGTTATGACCTTTCCTTCAATATGGCCCTAACACTGAGACCTTATAGCCACTGAAATATGTTCTTTGTATCAGAATGAGTTCTCCACATTCTAATCAGCTCTGGAAACAAATTAGCATCTAATTAGCATTGATTTACTGATATTCCACAGATTATAATTATATAACATAGATAATAAAAATAGTTAAAAAAAAACTACTATATCTTACAACAAATTCAAGCATGTTTACTCACAGGCAGTGCTTCTTCTTCCAGGTTCATGAATGCAAAAAATAAAAAAATAAAAAAATAAAAACACAAACCAAACTTCAGTTCAGGTCTTGGATTCTCACAGGTCACACGGACGTGTCTGTTGTGTTCACTGAGAGCAAGACTCAATGAGGCTCATTATCAGCTCCGTCAAGTTCAACACAATAATAGAAGAGGTGCTCCTGAAGTGTCAGTAGCCCTTCAAAAAGCTCAGCATCTTATTGAGCGCAGACATGATGACTGACCGCCTTGAATCCGAGCTGTAGGCAACAAAAGAGATTTGTTGATGTTAGTTTGGGATATTTATAGTTACCCCTCAAAGAAGTGAAAACCAGACCACTGGGGCACATGTGTACTTACAGCTTCAACTCGGGTTGTGTCTTTGTGTCGTTCAAATCCACCGAGCGATCCTCCCATTCCTGCTGCACGTCCTCGGTGATCTGGCTCCAGACTTCTGTGTTGACGTACAGGGCCTTGGACAAGGTCATGCAGGCCGGGGTGCACGTGATCCAGCGGCACAGAGGGCAGGAGATGGTCAGGATGTTTGACTTGTCCTTGGACAGTTTGTGCAGACACAGGGTGCAGAAGGTGTGTTGGCAGTGGAGGACTCGTGGGATTCGTTTGTTGCGGGAGAAGTCATGGCAGCAAATGACACATTGGAGCACGTCACTGTTGAACATGGTGTAACCTCGGTGTAGATGTGGAGGATGACGTGGAAGACGAGGGTCTCAAGGACGACCTGCTGCACACACAGAATGACAAAACCATGTTATTGCAAGACAGCACGTTAAATATCCAACACAGGGACTTTTCAGAGAATACCTAAGTTCATATTCAACTTAAATAATAATTTTTATATTAAGATGTCTTCTAGGGCAACACTTACCTGCAGGATGGATGAAGCGCTGCTCTTACTGCTAAAGGTGAAGCTTCTGGTGAATGCCTGCTCGGCTCAGGTGCTCTTAAAGTCGTTCCCCTGACATGACTGCTCTTGTCCTTCCAGTTCTGTGGAAGCTCAGAGGGCGGGCCATCGCAGCCTCCCTCACACACACACAAACAACTCTATTCCAAGGAAGACTAACCTTTTGTATATAGACGCTTTGTTATAGAGGAAGTTAAGAGGAAGTTTTTCTAAAAGGCCCTGCAATGCAGGGTTATTTATTTGCATTTACTATGAAAACATGTTACACAAGATTAACTGAAGCATGGAATTGTGGGCATTTGCTGTATAATCACACAAACGCACTCCCACCGTCATTATCATCAGTTTGTATTTCTTTGTTTTTTTTAAAGATGGTGCAGAGAAAAGAAGAGCAATACAAAGGCCAATCTTCTGCCGTCAGATCAGTTTTCTGCTGAAACATTAGATACACAATAGAACCATCTTTACTAAATGCAATGCACAACAGTAAATTATCAGCAATTATGTGAGTCTGGGCCGTGACCTGTCCGCACGAGTTTGTCCATTATAACGCTGCGTTTAGTAAACACTAGACGTTTCCTCAGAGTTGTGACAGACAGGCCCAGACTTTCTCTATAAATAAAGAGAACAAAAACACAGGAAGAAAAAAATTAACAGAAAGACACAAAACTGTTGGTTCTTTTCATGTCTCCTTACTTGGACCTATATAGAGCTATACTATACTGGTCAGCTAAGCCAATTGAAAAAAGAGAAGGAAAAGGTCCTGGTCTGACATCCTGCACAGACACTGGGTTCAGTGCTTGGCTCATGGGTTGACTGGAAACAACACCTGGACTCCCATCAAACTCTGACCCTGAGTCAGTCACGATTCACAAACACTCGTCAATACCCTGTTGTTGTTCTTCAATCACTTCATTCAGCGTTGCATCATCAGAATTCGGTCTACTCAGTATTCAAATGCTCCTTTGTTTGCGTGTTGATGTTTATATGTGTGTAGTCTGCTGTTTGATATTAGTCACTGATTACTAATGAGCATATTGATTGTTTGCAGGTCATAAATGTTGTTTTTTTACTTTTTCTTGTCAACAAAGTCTACAAGGTCTTATCTTTGATGTTCAGTTTGTGATGAAAACACACAAACACACACATATATATAATATATATAAACCTGTGTTTGACAGGGCGGCAGGGATAATGTTGCACTGATGAAGTGAGCTTTCGGGTAATCTGCTTAAATTTCAGACCAGTGTCTATTCTGTTTGACTGAGTGCTCCCTTTTTCAAACCCCCCCAGATTAACTCGAACGAACCCACGTCATGACCAAAGAAAGAAAATGAAACTCTGAACTCTGCAGGAGATGAAATCTGATGCCAGATGATGATGACATGGAAAGACAAACACTCACACGCATTTGTGGAATCTCTTCTTTTGAATTTCAGTACTGCAACATTGCCCCTCCCACCCTGAGACGACTGTATAATGGGAAATCTGCAGAGGCTTTCTGTAGCAGAGAAAGGAAGGGCAGATTTACTTTTAGAATGATCTACTTAAAAGAAATGTTATCAGTGATGTTGGTGACATTGCAGGAGAACAATGCTGCATTTCATTCCACCTCAGTAAAGCACGTTTGTGTTTATGGCCCATTTACAAGTCTTCCACAACCCATGAGCCAAGTCTGTTCCTATTGCTGACATAAACCTCTGAAGCCCAGAGTGGATCACAACCTTATTAATAAGCCCCTCCAACCCCTGCCCCGGCCCTATAGTCCACTCCCGTCCACTCCCCCACCTCCTCCTCTCAATCCTCCCTGGGTGGGTCAGCTTTGAGTTTCCGTCTTCCATAGTCTGTGGTGGTGGTGGTGGTTGTGGAGGGGTTTTACCCTGGACTGATCAACCCTCCCCCACATAGTGTGTTTGTAGAATTTGGAGTCCACTAACTGGCTCGCCTGCAGGGGGGTGGGGGGGGGTCACCCTACAAAGCCAGCTCTTCTTACTCCTGAGCTATGCTCCTCAGCACGTATTTGACTGTGTAGGCGAACGCAGCAAAGCCTACAATGACAAACAGGTTGGCCAGAGCCCCTCCCAGAAGTCCGTGGTTGCGATTGGCCTGCTGCAGACCAGGGGCAGGGATGGCACCTGCGAGCGGGACGGGACCTCCGTTAAGGGCAGGTATGCCGTAGTGGGCGTGTTGAGGGTCACCATCGGGCACCACGTCAGGTAAGGGGAGGGGCTGTGTGCGGGCGCTTAACTCCTCCTGGGCCTTCTGTTTCTGCTTCATCTCCTGATGAGTGGAGGGAAAGACATGGGAGAATATTAGGCGTATAACAAAAATCTGAAGAATAAAATTGCAAGTTAGGGATAACCTCATTCTTACATCAACTACATCAGGAAACAGCTCGCAGAACACTTTATCCTTGAGGTTGAAGGCCAGGCTTTGGGCCGACAGCTGTCTTTTCTGGAAAAAAGAAAGAATTTAATACCCAGAAGTCACTCATTCAGAACCAGGTCGGAACCTGTGTGCTTCTCCCTTTAAAGCCAGATGAGACGATGTCATCTTTTTCAGGACACATGACTAATGAAATACATTGTGATGTGCTGACATGCATTGTGTGTGTAAATGCTCTTAGTAGCCTTTAAGACAATGTGTGATGATCTAAGCGAGGGCAGCGAAAGCAGTGGTTCATTGAGGAGAACAATTAAAATAAAAAAATAAAAGGCTTTCTTGGTATTTAAAACAATGTACATGAAGTTTAGGGAAACAGCAATGATTTACAATGAAAGCCATCAAATGTATTATTTCATGTCACTTCCTGCTTCACATGAGGAAATTTATGTTTTTGTGAAAGTTGGCAATCCTGTCTGCTCTTCAGAAAACCCTCAGGTTTTAGGAAGTTGTTTTTAAACAATGCTTAGGTCTTAAGGCTAAATGATCATTTGTTTGACCCACTGTGTAGTCTGAGGTCTCAATGCTCCCGAGGGTGGGGCCCTTCTCGACCATGAAGCTGAGCAGACCCGTGAGGATGGTGGAAACAGACCACGCTGGGTTCCACGTGTCTGGATGGAAGTCTGTAATGGACAAACATAACCTGTGGAGGAAACAGGCAATGTTAAAGAAAAAAAGAGGCAACAAATATTTTTTGGAAACGTCTTAAAATTCGAAATTCTCACACAATTCATCGATAAGAAACTACATTCTTACCTTGTATTACACTTAAATCTCCCATTAGGTGTAATCATATAGATACTTGGTGGTTTAAAAGGAAACTCTCTGGGAAATATTAGTTTTCCGTGGTAATATCCTCCTGTACAAAAAAAGACATGATATCCAGTTACAGACAAAATACTGGATTACCTCATGCTGAGCTAGAAAGGTGTATCCTAAGAAATCGTCACTGAAGATCTGAAGAGTACGTGCAGATTTGTTCAGTGTGTTTTACCTTCGTAAGGTGTTTTCTCAGGACCTCTGACAACATAGTGCCTGAGGGAGAGAGGAAACAATTAATTATTAACAGCTGTCAAAACATTAATCACATTCAATTCCAGACATTGTAAGCGAGTTGGCCAAATCTTAAATTCTACAGTACATGTTTTACCTCAGTGTCTGCTTTAATCAGCTTTTTGGGGTTATATTCTATTGTCTAACATTTTCAGCTGAATCCTGGTGGTCTAATGGCTAGGATGCACATCATACGACTCAAACTGCAAATATCAATTATTTTTACCTGCAATTTATCAGCTAGTAATTTTATTGATTACTAACTTTGTCTCCATAAGAAAATTGTGAAAATGTCTAAATTAAAGTATAAGATCACATTGTCTGTTTGACCGGCTGTCAAACTCAAACTCGACAAATTTTATATTATAGAAGTTTCAGGACCATCACATTTTGAAATTTCTGTTAAAAACCAATGCATTTGCATGTAATCAATCATCACAATAGTTATCAAATGAATTTCTCAATCAAACTGATCAACTACAGATCGAAGTTTCCAGGACATTCACATATTTCCTGATAAAATAATTCTGCTACATCTTCTGCTTATCTTTAATCCAGACATATCAGAAACTGGATTTTCTGCTCAGGGCCCAGTGGAACAAAAAACAAGGGTGCAGCGTAATTATACACACATCACATGTTGGCAAAAAGATGAAAAAGAAATACCTGCACATCACATGACTAAGAACGCTCTCTTCTATCTCAACTGTCTCTCTCTGTCTGTTTGAGTAAGACTCCAACTTAAATAAAAGTTGATGTGGAAACTTACCAAAGCTTTGTCTAATATTTTTTATAACCTATATTTTTATTTTATGTTTTTTAAGTATACAAATTAGAAGGTCTGAAATTATTATTTTTTTTTTATTTCAGGGGCTGTACTGAGATGAACATCTTACCATTCTAGGATGTTGGAGGGGAGAGGTTCTGCACAGATGTAAGGCACGGGGTCTTTCTTTATCCTGAGGTAATCCTGCTTAAGTCGCTGAGTGGCTGTGGTTGGAGCTCTCTTATTCCCGTTGTTGTTCATCTGAGGATTTAGAAGATATGCAAAAGGGAAGATACTGCAATTCATCTCACCTTAGTTTACATTTGTTATCAGGATTTGTCACCGGGATGTATTCTTTCAAATGTGGAGCTATTCTGCTTTCAGTTAAATGTGTCTCTTCACGTATGACTGTTTACATAAAGAGACTGTTTGACAGTGTTCATTCTGTCGTGTATGTCTTGGGCTGGCTCTGTGTTCACTGCTCCATCTAAGGCAGAATAAATCCTGGTTTGACTGTGGTCTTTTTGTGTGGAGTTTGCATGTTCTCCCTGTGTCTGTTTGCTCCAGCTTTCCCCTACAGTCCAAAGACATGCGGATGAAACTTGTTTGATCATTTGATTTATAAGCACAGACTGAAGTTCAAGGCAAAACCTGAAGAAGGTAATTATGAGTCATTTCACCACAGACCTATTTCTGAGAACCTGCTCACAGTGAGTTGTGTGACTCATTTCAATCACGTTGATTCTGCACAGAAATAATGAATAGTGTCTTTCATAGTTAATATATATATATATATATAAATGCCACATTATTATTTAGCTCCTGAGTGAAGGTTGTGGTTTTAAACTCTTCTTAGTAAGCAGAGAATGACAAACACTTGATAAATAGCAAACAATTTTACAAATATGAAGTAGATCAGACACAAAGTATAATCATTATATTGGTATATATTGGACATTTCTTATATTGCTATTGATGAAAATTATATTGCGGTAATTATTACCTCCACAGAGGATGTTATAGTGATGGAAGTTTTCAGGAAGCACGTGAAAGGAAAACGATGTTCAAAAAATCCTTCAAAATGATGTTTTCACACCTGTCTGTGTGTGGGTTGGTTTGAATGTTTGAAATGTCTTCTGAATACTAAACTTTCTGCAGTAATATGAAATCAGAAGTTTAGCTTTAACTTAAATTAGCTTGTTTTTGACTCACAGGGCAAAATCTGCAACACAATACACCCTAAGAGTTGTTTAAATCAGCCTATAAATCTCTGTAAGAATATAACAGTTAACAGGAAACTTTTTTTTACATAAATCTATGTTAGATCCATTGTGCTATGATTACCAGCTAATGTATTCTCTTATATCTTATATATCTGGAATAAAATGCAGACTTTGAAAGGAAGGTGGCATTACCTCTGCCAAGGAGGTGCAAAAACCCCTGGACGTTGTCATGGGTCAGGGAAGAACCAATTCAATTTTGATGTGGATTCAGGTCAGGATTGTATGCAGGAATTTCTTTTCACTTCCTTTAAAGGTTCAGTGTGTAGAATTTAGTGATATCGAGTGTTGAAGTTGCAGCTGAACACCCCTCACGTCACTCTCCCCTTACAAACATGAACAAGAACCTGTGATAACTTCAGTTGTCAAAGAAACTCAAAAGGTGTTTAGTTTGTTCAGTCTGAACTAATGTAAAAAACATGACGGCCTCCATAGAAAGGACCTGCTCCTGATGTAAATATAAAGTATTTAAATATAAAGGGCCTTTTCTAGGGTAAAGAAAACAACAATTCATACAATTTAGATGAAACGAACTCCTGAAAACATTATGAGGAACATTTTGCATTCAATTTGTGATAAATATATATATGACCGTTTTTTTACATGTTCACTAATTTCCCAGGGAATAATTAATGGATCTTCATGAAACAAATCAGCCACATTCAGGGAACTCATATCTATGAGTGGGTGAAATTTCTTGGAACTTGGTTGAATGGAAGGGATCTGTTGGGCCTTGGAGTGTAAGTGTAAGACTTCCGGCCTGTTTAGAAAGTGAACTTCACGTCATACGACCTATGTGCCAGTACATGACGTAGATTTAACTCCACCTCAGCCCATTGAACTCCGGATAACTTCGGTGTTTGCCAATGGAGCTGCTGTCATGCGGCGATCAGCTGACATGCCCTCGCCGCCGAGCTGATAGTTGAAGTAGTGTCGGTGTCACTTCCTCACACGAGACGGGCGAGTTGAGGCAGGTTGTGTTTTCGCTGGGACTAATCCTGTCCCCGGCTAATGTTCCGGCTCCACCTGAGCCAGCTGTGTGGACAGGTAACCCCCTCGGTCGCTGGCTGTAAACAAACACAGCGGACCAGCTTCCAACTACACACCGACACGACACGCAGCTGAAGACTAGTGGCGCAGTAGACACGGTGTTGTCGGCGCTGCCCGCTCAGGAAGCTGAACTGGGCTTTGAACGAAGCTCTCAGGTACACTGTGCTCCCTGTGTTAGCCACCGCCGGCTAACGTTAGCTAACCTAGGCCATAGCTATGTTTAGCTACCTGGCGTTAGCATCCCCTCGGCACGCACCGCTGGTACTGACCAGGGCTCAGCCCGCGGGGTTGTCGCAGTGAAGGACACACGTACCTCTCCAGAGACCCCAGTGAAGACGGGTGTTCGTGACTGGACCCGGGATAAAGCTGCTGTCGCCGTCCTCAAACCCCAAACCGATGAGACGATAGCAGCGACGTAGCTTTAGCTAGCGCCTACAGCAGGAGGAGTGACACTTCCGGTTATTCTTCTTCTTCGGTTGTGGAAAAGCGGCTGACAAAACCACCGAGGAAGTGAACGATTGTCACGAGCTTATGTGGAATTTGGAAAAATATGAATGAAATCCGAATTATACACTTGAAACAATTTATTTTACCTTAGTACCCCAACTATCATTTGTAGCCTAGACATATTTCCTAATTATACATTTTAAATACTTTTATTGTGACGGGTTCATGCATCTGTGCAACCCAAAATGATCCACTGTATTGTTCTGTGACTTTTCAATTATTGTTTCCATATTTCTTTTTTGTACACGAAGTGACATAATAAGAAAAATATATAGACTAAGTTCATGCCTGGTTATCATGACACTGCCTAGTCGATTATGACTGTCATCTTTGTTATCCCAAAAAAATAGATTGCACAGAAACTTTCATGATGGCCTTTTATTTATTCAAATATTTTATTTCTGCAATGAGGTGCAAGAAAATGATTTCATCAGAGATGTGTAGAAGACAAAATGTAATTATTCAAAACAATACAAAATGGGGCACTTCACTGATTTTAAACCTCAAGTATAATATACTCATCACAGAGAGTATGATTTAAGCTGTGGAAACATTTGCACAGTATTTTTATCCCTGGTGTTGTTTGGACCTGAAGATGACACATGTTAAGGAGACATGGAGTCTAAAAGACATGAACCTTTAACAGGCAGAGAGGATCTAACAGCTCTTGTGCTAAATAATGGGAAATTAATAATCCAGCCATTTGGGCACTTGATCCATACTTGAGAGCATAAAGGTTCTTTTTAAACATTTCCTTTGTGGGTTCATCACCTTTATGGAAGTGCAATACTATATAGTCGAAGTGCCCCTATGAAAAATAATCCAGTCTGGGGTCAGGTGAACTAAAAGAACTGTGCAAAGGAACTGTTTGAATATGATGACATGACCTCCCTTGAACAAACTGAGCATAGAAATAGAGAACAATGATATTCAGTGATAAAATGGCTTCAGAGTCTGCAGGGTTTAACACTTTTGTCTTTATCTGCATCACTCAATCCCCAGCTGTCTCTAACAGCATGGACTGCTTCAATGTTTGAAGAGCGGTGAGATGAAGTGGTGGTCAGCTGTGGTCACTGTGGTGTCCTGCAGCGGCCGAACTGTATGCTCCTTCTCCTCAACTTCTCGGGCTGGAGAGACGCGAGGAGAGAAAACTCGCGAAAGATGTCAACACAGGAGACATGACCTGCAGAATGGGACACTTGACATAAGTCGAGGGGGATTGCCCGACTGTGAGCACTGTGGAGACAACTGTGATTTGTCTGCTGGGTTTTGCTTTACTTTTGTATCAAATCAAGCCATATCAATGACATAAAATACAGGAAATGAGCCAGAAAATACACCAGTCACCCACATATCAATATCTTCAGTAGGCAAGAATAATAGAAACCCCCTGAAGCACCAAGACCCCAAGAGTAAGGCTCCTCTGTCTATACACCTATTCCTTCAGGATGATTAAATGACTCACTCCTCTATAAAATATGTTTATTCTGCACCAAATTTCACACACTCAGAAATACCAGAGTCATTAACATATCTGTTTTATTTCATTAAGGCCCATGTATTGCAGTGGCTCGGGTTCGAGTCCGGCCTGTGGCCCTTTGCTGCATGTCACCACTCCCCTCTCTCTATCTCCCCCTTTCAAACTTAATACACTGTCCTATCTCAATAAAGGCAAAAATGCCCCTCGCCTAAAAATAAAAAAATAAAAAATAAAATTTCATGAATTACTTTCTGAGAAATCAAGAAAATGTTGAAAAACACCCAATAACGATGTTAAAGAAAGAAACATAAAAACAATACTAGATCCAACACTTTTCCAATTCCAATCTGCAACCAAATCTAAAGGATTCTTGATTGGTCATGCTCACCCCTCCACAGAATTTTGATGGCAATCAGTTGATTAGTTTTTGTGTAATCCTGCTAAATACCAAACAAACAAACCTCCTTGGCTGAAGTAACTATGACGCAACTTACCAGTTCTCTGTAACCTAACGGCCACTATCCATTGGATGTATGAATAATTTAAATTCGTTTTTGGTTTGTTTAGGTATTAACTACATATTTTTAAATGCATGTGAAACCGAATCTTACAACACCTTCTTCTGACTTAATTCTCCTCAACAGCACATCTGTGAGAAATCCCAGGTATATCATTTCTCCCCATGAGACAAATAAGGTTCACACCATCAAGAAAGCTCCAAATATTTTCCCAGAGAGAGGGGGGGAAGAGACAGAAAGGCACGGAAGATAAAGAGACCCTAAAGTTCCCCCACAGCCACCGAAGCAGAGAGAATATAGTCCCCCTATAAGACGCCCCGGGAGGCTTCACTCACTCTCTCCCGAACATCCTTGGCTTTAACTCTCCTGCTGCCTGTGGCAACCCCTGTGGCAACAGAAGCAATGAAATGTCAGACATTGTTTTACTGGCTCACGAGTTTAGTGTCAGGTGAGGAATTAGGCATTTCCACAACATGAGTACAGTTTATCAGTGATGGTGTACGAATGCTTGTGAGATCACATGAGGTGTTTTAACACACTGCAAACACTTAATTATTCAAGGCACACTGTTGTAACTGCTGCAGGCTGAAAGCATAAGCACTATTTAATTCCCATGACCTGCTAAACACTGAAATGGTCTTTTAATATCATGTGTGATGGGAGTCTGGAGGTGTCTGTGTGTACACCTTACTTTAATATAACAATTTTATTGCTTTGAATAAGCCAAATGCTTCCCAAACAGTTTGTTATAGACCAAAAGACACAACAGACCATATTGTGAAAAATACTATTCTCCCAACATCTGGCAATATTTCATCAGCTAGGTAGCAAGAAATTCAAATTATTACAAATTTAGAGCAGCGACTCTGTGCAAACCATTTCAAATATATTGCCTCGATGTTGTGAGAATGTCACAGATAAGAGACGAAACAGGAAACAGAAATGAGAGCAACAAGCGGGAAGCAGGGTTAGTTCATTGAGAGTTTCTGTTTTATTGTATGCATTTTGTTTTCTTCTTTTCCCAACTCAGTGCTTGTAAAGACAAAAAAGAAAGTATTCCAAAGATATCCACATGTCAGTGAACAGAGGACCAAGTAGAGCAGAACTCTGTAACGGTTCTGCCTGACAGGATGTTTGTTTATTTTAGGCAGAGAGTAAAAAGACGAACATAAAACCGATCAGACAGTCAGGATCCGTGATTGAATGCTGAGAGGCAGGCAGTTGGCTTCGAGTTAAAATACACAAGTGTACTATTTACAGCATGTTTCTTCTGAACAACACCTTTAACCACTCTTATGTCAATACACACAATGGACACGACATTTAATACTTCCTGCTTTAGGGCCTTCATGAGCCCTTAAACAGTTTGGTCACAGTAGCTTCACATCACCTCCTAGACTGGTTCTACTTGCAGGACATCAAACTATTGCAGATTACCACCTGTCAACAACAAAGTCTCTCAGGTGAGTCACATCTCTGTAACCTCTTTTTTTGAACACATGAGTACATGGTCAGTGTTTTTACCACTCTCTCACTTCACAAAGCATGGTAAGACTATGCTGCATCTACTCCAAACAGTTTCAGAAAACAAAAAAAATGGGATATCATACAACAATGTCAGACACTTTCCCTTTAAAATCTTTGGCAGAGGAAAATAAAACCACATGTGGAAATTAAAAATAAAAAAAGACAGGATTGAGCAGGTCGCCACAGGTTTGATTGGTAGATGCTTATTCCACTGGACTGCACTGCATGACGTGATCAAACCATGTAAAACTATTTACTCATGCTCCTCATAATGCAAAACGATGTTGAAATAGCCAAAAAGAAAGATTCTGGCTTAGCATGCAAGGAATACTCTCAGCATTAACCAGTGAGGGAAGCTAGAGACAAACAGCCTTTGACCCCCACCCAGGGTGCAGACTGTTATAAAGTGATGTGCTCCATGATCTCACTGCAGGTTCTGCCTCATGTTTGAGTATTTACAACAAAACCGAGCTGTGGGTTTACACACAGGAGAAATTTTGCTCTGTGAATGAAAGAGAACAAAGGGGCTGATGAGATGTTTCGTTTACACGCTCCCTCCCTGTACCACACCACTGCTCTGGTTCGTCTGCACATCACCTTCACAACTCATTCTTAAAAAACTGACTCATCAAAGAAATTATTCAATGTAATTATTATTTCCACAGTAAAATCTCTGTCGGTGGTTTGGTCAAATGCCAAACAATTGTACACATAAAAATCTAAGGCCCTTCTCAAGAAAAACTGAAAGTAAAAAGTCTCATGAGAGATGTTATCTTGAGACATGAGTAATATCATCTGAGCATTCCAATCCTTTCACCATTTACTAAGTAACACTATCAGATTAAAATGACAATCAATTGCAGAAATGCAGATGATAAACTGCAACTAAGAACGCATTGCACTGGTCCTCTGGAGATTAACATAAATAATATTAATAATTAAAAAAATAGACAATAGATAGATATACAATAACTCGAGCGGACAAGAACAATGTAAAAAAAGTCACGCTAACTGAATGACAATAAAAAATAATACCGGAGATGGGAAAAGTGCACAGGTTCTTTTTTTACCTTTACATATTGTATCATAATATCATATTATTTAACTCTGTCTCTCAGTATTCTCTCATGCACTCACTCATTCACTCCTCATGTCACAAAGTATCTCAGAAAGCAAGCTAGGGTCTCCTCCCTCACAAGCCCTTCAGTATTTTTGTCACAGTTTCAATTAACTTCCCTTCCAGACCTTCTCCTTAATACACACAGGAAACTGCCCTGCTCACCTCTGATGCAGCTTTTTTTTTCTTAAAGTAATGGAACTTTTTTTTTCACCTCATGCCACTGCACATATAAAGATTACCCTTTTTAACTTCTAAATATGTATATTTACATCTCTGATTGAGGAGAGATGGGTACGCTGGATGTCAACACAGAAAGCATGGAGGGGGGTTAATGCAGTTGTTCAGAGGTCAGAGCTGTTAGGCCACAGTAAACCCCCGCACCCTCACACGACAGGTATAAGTTAGAGGATAACCCTGTTAATAAAACACCAAAATGTATTTAACTGTGTGTGTGATGGTGCTAGCATAGCTTGGGTGGTGCTGAGTAATGGCAAGCAGAGACACGGCGATGCAGAGAAAGTGGAAGTGGTGGCTGTATTGTCAGTAGAGTTAAAAAGGTCCATCAGGGGTCTCCCTATGACACGACACACCCCCAAAATGAGCAAGTGGTACGCTCCTCTCTTCTTCGACGCCCCAGAGAAGTTGCCTGTAAGCCTTCGTCTACATGGTTATTTTCAGTTTCCAATCAGGGGGAACATTTTTGTATGTATATACTATAGTATGTATATATAATGTATACATGTATATAACACGAGCTACACTCCTGGATACAGGAGTAACTAGCACTCCTCTATCGTCAGGCAGATAAACTCCTGGATGCACTTCCTATACTGCTGTTCAGTGGGGCTGCTGCTGGGGTATTGACCTGGTTGACCCAGCGGAGCCTCGGCCTCCCGCATCTCCTCGTTCATCCGCGCTAAACGCAATCTGTTGAAAAGTAGGAAGAGTGGAGAGAGAGGATTGAGAAAGAGAGAAAGGCAAAGAAAAAAGCAGAAATGAGAAATGGGAAGGTGGCAGGCGAGAAAAGAAAGAAATATGAAGGGAGGGAAAGGATGGAGATGTTCAGGTGCCATGACACCATTGCAAATGGGGTGAGGTGGTAAACAGCAGTGACAGAAGACAGATGATAGGAGGAGGGAGGAAAGGAGGGAAAAAAGAGTGAAGGTCATTATCAGCATGAGCTTTCATAGCAGAAAAATAATTGAAACATATTTAACAACATTTAGGTGAAGAAGAAATAGATTTTTGAGAAGAATTCAGATGATTTACAGTGTCACGATGTCTGCGTTGGCAGCCTGCACGGCGATACTCAGGGGGTCATGACCCTGCTCATCCACCTCCGTCTGCGATGCTCCCCTCTTCAGGAAGAGACAAACCTGACTGTGAGCAAAAAGTTAAAGCGAGAGAAGACAGAGGATGATGTCAGATGTTAACACAAGAAATCACTCTATATTCCAAATGCATTAATAAAGGGAAAGGATGAGAAAACATGTTTATAGGCTGATAAACTGATGGATGATTTCGATTTTTCAAAGCAATGATTTGAGACTGACAAAACTCTCAGAGAATATATTTCCTTCAGGAACAGTCTCTAAAAACTTGGCCTTTGCTAGTTTCTGGGGGAAATAATTAATGACTAATACAGTTGGAAATTGAAGCAATCCTCCTCACATCTGAGTAATTCAACTCAACTCACTTTGTGTTTAAAAACCCATAGTTAATGTTCATTTAACGCAGGCTAGCACATGAACTGAGAGATTTGAAGCTTTTCTTTTCCCTTTGCAGGTGTCACTTACCCAGTGTGCCCCAGGTAGGTGGCGTGGTGCAGTGGCCCTCTGCCTCTCATGTCCCTCTGGTTCACATCAGCTCCGTTCTGCAGCAGGAACTCACAAGCTATCAGAGAGCCCTGGCAGAGAGACAGATGGTCAGAGGGTTGTTTATTTTAAGTTATTCGCTTTCAAGTGAGTTAAACATTACTGAGAATGGTTTTAATTTTTAACCCAGACAGATTCCACAATTTGACATCGCAAAAAACAGTAATGGTCAAATAAACGAGAGTAAATTGCTGATTTACAAATTCAAATGCTTTTGTAGGCCAAATAAACTTAGTGTCTTACCCCGATCACGGCCTGTATGAGCGGCGTTTTCCCCTCCTCCTCCTCACTCGCAGCGTGGACGTCAGCACCGTGCGCAAACGCCTCGGCCATGAGCGGCAGGTTGTGCAGACGTGAGGATCGGTAGAGGAGCGCCCCGGGATGTAGCTCCCTTGGATCCTCTGTGTCTGATGATATTTCCTGCTCGATCTCCACCTCGCCACTGGACGACTCCTCCGACTCCTCCTCTGAAGGTCGGTAAAGAAACAGGTAAGAAAAACATATGTTGGTAAGTGTTAGTGAGTGAATGTACCATGTTCCTTTTGAGGGGTTATACCAGTGTTCGTTATGAAGTGTGACTGGGTTCATATAGGTCTCAACAGGAATTCTGTCCAACACACTGATATAAAAAAATTATCTTTGATTGATTGATTGATTTGATTGACGCTGCCCCACTAAGTTTCAGGTTTTGGCATCAACATTAATTTGAAGGAAAAGGGTGAAATACAAAACAATTGATAAGTAAATGTAACATCACATCATCACAGGAAGAAATGGAGAACTTCCCCCATTTTTCCAGTTGTGCTCGGTTACTGTGAAACTCTTATTGACTCAAGTACTCTCCTTTTACCATGAATAACTCTTTTGTATTGTTAACAACACGCACAATAATATTCTTGTGCGAACACCCACACAATCACACACCTTCTTCTGTGACACTGTCAACCACTGAGCCAAAAACCAGGATGTCAGTGCTGCCGTCAGTGCTTCCTCCGAGGCCGCTGTCGCTGCTGAGACCTGCAGGGCCAAGCATCGCCAAGCCACGGACACGTTAATCATTACAAAGCACATACTGCACCGCTTATACACACATCATCACAGGTAGGACTGTACAACTAATAGATAATATGTCAGAAATTGCTGACTAACATTCTGCAATAACTCTGTAAGGGATGTGTGTAGACGTGTGTGCTGAGTGATTGGTGAACTTACTGCGAGGACCAGAGCCGGTGTCGAAGTAGGAAAATAGTGAATCCAGTTCATCTGGGCAGAACAGGGAGTCCCGGCGAAACTTTGCTGCTGCCGCTGCCAATAGTCAGAGAAGTTCAGTTTCCACAGTATATCTAAGCAACCTTTTTATCTCTCCAACATCTTCAATGCTATTGACCCAAAGAGCTTCAAATCCACCAAAGTAATCTAATCTTAGGCAAACAACCCTCAGCATCAGTGGCTTCACTGAGAGCATCTAGTTTCTTGAGGTTCAGATCTCGGAAAGACGCACTAACACCACCAGGAAAGTAATACAGGCCCAGCAGAGATCACATTTTCATAGGAAACTGAAGCCAAAACTCCATATATATATATGAATATATATATTTGATGGAATATATATTGCTACAGAGGACTATACACTTATATAGTATATCAAAGTGATGGTGATTAGCTGAACTGACCTGCTGAGAGATTTGCTGCCGAGGCGCTGCCTGGCTCATAGCGATGGTATTTCCTGCGGACCTTATTGGGGGCTCGCACAGAACTGTTGTGTCGCTGGCACTTCTTCACCGTCCAGGGGCGGGACTTCCTCTCGCCAACCACCAAAGCGTCGCTCCCGCTCATTTTCTTCAGAAAGCGTTTCTCCACATATTTGGACTTGATCCAGGCTTCCTTCTCCTGCCTGGAGGGCGATGATCACAAACCCATCACTTTTACACCATTAGAGAGACATCAAGACACTTCTTTTAACTGAACTGACTATAACCAAAGGTATTTACAAGCAGTAGATTTTCTTTTCACTTCTAATGTTCATCATGGAATAAAAAACTGACCTTGAACTGGAGGGTCCAGGTTTTTTAGCCCCCACTTCCTCACAGCGACCCTCATAAATCTGGTTTATTACAGTGTTCCCCAGTTCACACATCAGCTAAATGTGATAGAAGAAGGAACGAAAACACAGGAAAGTCATTTAAAAGAGTTATTTTAGCAATGAACTACCATGCAGAGATCCAACTGTACCAGGGAAAAAAAGCATGGCACAGAGAGAAAAAGCTGGAGAGAAGCACCTTGAGTAACTCTGGCTCCCATGAGTCTAACGTCAGTGAACGCACTTTGGAGCAATGAACACCTAAACTCCTGAAAGACACATGGAGAAGAGGAGAGAAAAGGTTTTATAAAGTGAGTTTTCGTTTACATTTTACTCAAAATTATAGCACATTTTTTCTCTTGCCGCTTCTACTAAAACTGCCAGAAGTGACAGATTTAGTGTTTTTCTTCTCTCTGAATTCTCTGAAAATCTCTAGACTAAAAAGAGGAGTTTTATTATTCAACATGCATGCTAATGGTGACTTTAAATCCAGATGGACGTTTTCCACATCCATATTTCCATTAAAGATTTGTAGTAAAGGTCAATGTGTCTTTTATCTTTACATTGGGGCTTTGATTCATGATTTATGATATCATACATAGTGTAACTGCATCTGATTAAAGCAGCTTATCTGCAAAACTGACTGTGAATTAAATGTGATGCTTTAATACAGAAACGAAACAAGCAGCAACAGGATGAATGTCACTTCTGCAGAGAGTGTTGTGTGTGAGGAGGAAGCTTCAGCCAAAAGAAGTCTCTCAATCAAAACAATAACTAAATCCTTAGTTTGATGACATTGTTACACAGCACGGGATCATGGGAGTCATTGTCTTCACCACTATTGCCAATGAAAATCTACCTGACGCGACTGGGTGATGGATAATCTTGATCCATTATGAAAAGGAAAAAGAAGACAACTGGCTAACAGTGTGCTTTTCCTTTGTCTCATCATTTTTAGACATTTCAATTAAGAGTCCAATTGATAAGTTAAAATATGATCTTAAATATTGTTGTCGCCCTCTTCAAACAAACCCTGTCTCAGTGCAGTTATACCTGTGGATCCCTGAGCACTCGATGCACAGCAGCACTCCCAGGTTGATGGAGGCCCAGCACGGAGCTGTCTGGCTACAGTCGCAGCACAGCTCGTTGCCTGGTAGGCTCTGCACCCTCTGGAGGAGGCTCTCTCCCCCACTCCTCACTCCTTTATCGCCCCTCTCCCCCCTTTCTCTGGGTTCGCTGGCAGAGTCGATGCTGCTGGTGGAGGGTGAGGCTGTCCGGTCCAAACGCTGCAGAAAAAAGGGGCAGACAGGTCAGCGGCAGACAATTTCATTTGAAGGAAAATTGGTCAAGCAATGTGTGATGTGAATGTTTCTGCATGTGTTCATACCTCAATATAGTAATTGTCAGCAATGTCTTTGTAAGCAGAGGCTATGCTGGCCTGGACGGCCTGAATCCAGGCCTGTCGCAGCTTCTCGGACTCAGCTTGCAGCATACAGCTCCTACAAAATAAAAAAACAGTTATAAAAATATCATAACTGTCTAATGTTAGAAATCTACATGTTAGCTGCGTAGTTCATTAAGAATGACAATAGACAGTAATGTAACACACACACACTTACTTGGTGGGAGAAACCACCTCAAAGCAGAACCTCCTCTCGTTATCCTCACAGGGTTTGACAGAGCACAACCTCAGGTCCTCCACCACCACTGTCAGAGAGTCCTGTCATTAGCAGAGAGGAGTGTCACTCACAACAAGGTAGATCTATTTACTGCAAGGTTGCACTGGAACAGATTAATGTCCGGAAGTGAAGGATGAGTCAGTGCACGGCTCCTTCCTTCTCTGTCAATATGCAAATTATTAATAACTACATGAAAACTGCCATTGAGCTTGATTTGACATAATTTTAGCGACAAAATTAATTATTGCATAAAAACACACAAATTGTAGGAAAATGTACAGAAATCTAACTTTACCTTGAGTTTCTTTTGATAGACCAGTTGACTGTTTTGTATAGAAAACCATCGCCTGCAAGGAGGAGAGGGTGTGACATTAGTTTCTGTATAAAATACAAACAATCGAATGTCTTCTTGTCAAAAACACTGTTCATCACAGTGGTCATTAATGAATATACAGATAAATGTTCTGTATGTGAACTGAAGACCAAAGTTTGCACAGGCCCTTATCCTTTGGGCTCAAAGAAACAGAACACATACTGTATTTAACATATACTGTTTATTTAAAGTTGACTCTTTGTTTACCAATTCCAAAAAATACTTTAACGTAGAAATTAATTGTGTTAAGTAAAAGTTAACAAGTTATACTAACACATTTTATTATTTCGAGTGTAGTTAAGTAAAGGTTAATTATCAAAAACCTTTTCGTGAGAATTTCTGACTTCTGATTGTTGCAACTCTATGTTTACCCATTTTTTTTGTCTGCCGTTTTCACAGTAACGTTATTTGCTTTGTTCTTCCATGTTTCTTGTCTTTTACCTATTCCAGGTCTTGAAAGCATTGCTGGCCCTCTTGAAGAGGTAGCCCTCCATGACAACACCATTGGGAGCATCCACATTAAATTCCAACTTAGGGTCATCATAGGAAAAGTCCTGTAAGGAAAATACAAACGCACATAAATGTGAATATCTCCACTGTTTGCTCTTATTGTCAGGGAGTGATTAATTGTCTATCATCAACGTGATATAAAGGCCACATCTCCGTGGTCTAGTTCCTGTAGACAGTAGACCCTTTCTGCGTAAAGATCAGGTCAAAAGATACTGATGAGTGACTAAAGTCTGCTGAAACTTATCAAGAGGAACCGGAGATATCATCTTATCAGAAGCACATGTGCAGACTCTCCTGACGTCTTCCTCTGTTGTGACTTCACACCTTTTCTCTAAGTTTCTTAAAAGTGTCTCTGTTCCTCCACAAACATCAGTCTGTGTCCTCTCTTCACTGACCATCTGTTCTTTAGTTTACCTTCAAAGATCACATCAAATCTGAGCCTCTCTAACCTGTCTCTACCTCTCAGCTGACACCTCACCGGCTTTGTCCAACCCTGAACTTCCTGAGATACATGCCACCTGCCCAGCGAGGTGAATAAAACAGGCGTACTGATTTACATGAGAGTCAATGGTGAGGTTGGGTTTCAGTATTGTTAAGGAGGCCTTTGGTTTGGGGTAAGGAAATACCAGGGATATGGTAAGCTGCTGGCATTTAGAGAAGACAACACGCACACATACAAACTTGTCTCTCTATAGTTGAGAGGACACTCATTGACATAATACATTCCCTAGCCCCTTTCCCTAACTTGAACAATTCAGGGTTTTTTTCAGAAATTATTTTCACACCAATGTCATCAAGTATATTCAGCATCCTTATTAAATATAACTAAAACTCTCAAATCAAATTGATCGTTTTGGCAGCTTAATGCAGATCAGTGTGGAATTATATTCAGAGCAACATGTGGTATTGGGTTATTAGAAATGTAAATTGGCATATTTCACAGCCCGTGTGTGATTTCTGCTGGTTTGTGTGAAAACATTCAGGCTATGTGAGATATGGGTTAGACATGGTATTAACAATACAGTCCGTCCCCTGGCTACTGAGTCATTCATAGCTTGAGGTGATTCCAGCAGGAACCAAAAGAGACGCTTGTATACAAGCACCAAAGCTGCATCTCACATGGGCCACTAAAGAGCTACTTCAACTTTGAGGAGAAGAAGAGAGAAGTACAAAAAGAGAAGACTTTGCCAATCTCCGGCAGAGTAAGCACATAATAGTGTCAAGCACCTTTTTCCCAATGTAACTATTGTATTTATTTTGTAGTTAATGTGAACTACACACTAGAAGTTGGCAATAAAACAATATCTACCTCAATATAATTTTCATCAAAGGTTCAATATCTATGCCTATGCAGAGATGAGGAGGTATAACACATTTTCAGTGTCATGAAAACTGACTCCTGACTAGAGAAAACCATTAACAGAGGAAACACGTTTCTCACCAGTGTGTGGTCCAGTCTGCCAAATATCTTCATCTTCACCACACTGAGATCCAACAACATTTCCAATTCAACAGTAACAGAATAAATTACTAAATGATAAATAAATAAACTAATGCATTACATCACACACACACATGCATCTCACACCAGTGCAGATGAGAGACTGTCAGCAGGCTCGTGCCGTTCCTTCACTCTACGCCACCTGCCTGCACACTGCTCCTGCTCCAGGGACACATGTGTCGTGAGCCCTCATTACCATACAGCTGTCACAGAGTGTGCTCATGACCCTCTGACCCCCCCACGGCTGCCAGAGATCAAGCATTTTCACTTTACACCCACCCCCTCCCTCCATTCTCCATCCCACACCGGGATTTAAGGCTCTCCTCTAACCCCCGCAGCTATATTCTCCAACCCTGGGTTTAGTGCACACTTCTGCAGGAGTCAGCTCTCCATCTGTCTGTGGCTCTCAACACTATTCCTGCTTAATCAAGCTGACATTATTGCTCCCCAAACACCAGCAGAGCTCCTGCTTCCCACCTTAAATCAGACGGCAGAGTGGAAGAATGCAGCGCACCAAGAGTCCAAAAGGCACAGGAGGCAGCACAACAGCCTTTATCATACGGACACTGTGCTTCAGAATTTACTATCCTTAGATAGACCATGTCAAAATATGTTGGTTTAGTGACATGGTCAGTCTTGACATGAAAACACTGAACAAACTGACGAAAAAACAGTGATTGAAAGCGATCAAATGTTTCAATCAAGTTTCCAGTTATATATGTCAAAAGTAAGTTAACACATGGTCAACACTACAAAGAAAAGTGTTTGACAAGAGGACATATCTGCTGAGTAAATAAGAAAACTACAAAGTAATAAAAAGGAGGGAAAAAATAAATTAAAATAAAATGAAAATAAAGTAGAGCTAAATTGACGTATTGCATCATCATCAGAAATATCACTGTTACAAAGACTTCATTAATTTTGTAGAAGAATCTATCATTCAGTTTAAATGTACATTTTACTCAAACAGAACTGAATCAAACAGAAACCACCCCTACAGACATATCACACAGAAAACAACTTGATTTAGTGTCGTTCAAGGAATCAGGTGGATTTTGAACAAATGTAGTTTGGTGGTGAGTTGGTGGTGAGTTTTGAATAATGGTGTCTCGTACTTGGTTGTTGCACAACGTCATGCTGTAGCTGTAGGTATCCTGACAAACTAAACTGAACCCTAAGTTCTTTTTCACCACATTCTCCTTCTGATACTTTTCCTAGTTCACCCCATGTTTTTGTCTCTTTCGGTCTCTGTGTGCCGCCAAAAGCTGCAACAGTTGGAGGAGGAGACCACTGGAGGTGACAATCCCCCTGGGAGCCACAATGAAGTACTGCACACAAACACCGCTGTGAAAGAGTGCAGAGAGGAGACAGGGGGAGTGTGTGATCTGTGGTGTGTGACAGGGCTGTATAGAGCTGCATGGGTGGGGGGTGGGGGGGGCAAAAACAGTGAAAGTGTAGGGGTGAGGTCTGGAGCAACACAAGCAGGAGAAGGAGAAGAGGAGTGAGAGATTATGAACGTACAGTGATCATCTGTTCAAAATAATCTCTCAGTGATGAAGACATTATTGCTTTGGTTCCATCACGACCATGGAAGTGAAGTTGAAATTTCAGGCATTTCAACCTGCCTGTTCTTTTCTGTACTGATGCATCTCACACCATTTTAAGATTACTTACAAGATTCATTATAAGATAAATACATTTCTTAATGAAAAAATGTTACCAGTATCTTGTACTGTCTCTGTTCTGGTATCCATCTCCTCCCACTGAAATGTAACCCACTCCACATCAAATTTATCCTGAACTGTACTTTTATAATGAAGAAATCTTATTTTCTTCTGAGCATGACTCCATTTACTTGATGGTATATTAATAAAGAATGTATTCTATCAATAATTCACAAACTCTGAAGTCTCAGTTCTTACTTCTTGCACAAACACATTTGCATACAGAGGGGGTCTAAAATAAGAAGTCTTTGATCGCAGGAGAATATCAGAAACGGCTCAGGGCAATATCTCCTGAATGTCTTGATGTGGTTTGGCTTTTTTTTGTCTTCAGACTTCAGAAATGTCTTTTTACAGATGCAAAATCAAAGACAAGTGTAATAAGAGACAGAAGAAAACATTTCTATCTGACTCAAAGCAGCTTACATATTTTCTTTTGTGTCATCACCACTTGGCTTCATCCAACCATCTAATCTGAGTGTTGAGGTTTCACATGATCACATCAATAACGTTCTGTGAAAAAGGCTTTTACTCATAAGCCCAGTGTTGTGTAAGTGGTTTTTTTTATACGAAGAACAGAGGCAAAAACTTTAAACAGTGATGTTGAAACAACTATTTGCAAAATTGTGGTGCAGTGATTAACATTGTCGCCTTACAGCAAGATAGTTCTCTTTAAATGTTCTCCCTGTGTCTGTGTGAGTTTTCTCTGGGTACCCCAGCTTCATCACAATGTCCTAAGACATGCAGATTTGGGTAAGGGTTATTGAAGACTCTAAATTGACCATGGGTGCAATACACCGGCGACCTGTCCAGGGTGCACCCCTTCTCTTTTCCAATGTCAGCTGGGATTGGCTCCAGCCCCCCCATGGCCCTCTAAAGGAGAAGCAGTATAGATAACAGATAGATGAATAAATGAAACTAAAGTGATTTTTATAGGAAGTAGAGTTTTTGACTCATAACTATAAGGAGCACTGTCACATGAAGCTCATTTCTCCACTTAGTAGCCACACTGCTAAATTTAGAAAAGTCACGTTATCAAGTGAGCAGGGATAAACAGATTGAATTCTTTAAATCTGGAGCATTTATTCTGTGATGAGTGAGGTTAAACTGAGAAGTGACTGTAGAAACAAATTCTCTCTTTCTCTATATTTCTATTATCCTTCATGCTCCCTGTCTGGATCTTAAACTTGTCTCTCTCTTTATTAGTCCTCTGCTCTTTGTCTTTTTGCTCTATCACTTCACTGGCAAGGTTCGGAGAAGGAAATGGGTTGATGCTGCAGCATCACGCAGTGGGATATCTGAATTTAGAAAGTCAATGGCTTAATTTAACTGGTAAACACTGTCTAAACACAAGAAAAACCCATCATGACTAATATTTTTAAGCTTCTACTTAGACAATTATATTTTTGTAACAGGGTTACTGATGTGCTGATACATCCTCAGGGTTACATTTTGAGATGAAATAAACTGGAACAGCACAAAAAAAACAGGAAGAGAGAGAGAAGGAGAAAGTGCATGTGTGTTTACGTGCATGATGTGCTAATTAACCAACACACACAAGCAGGTAAGCAAGTTCACTGGAAACAAAGCTACCAGGAAAGATAAGCATTTGACTGACAGCATCCTGGAATGCTTTCAGACGGATTAAGACACACACGCAAACAAACAAGTAAGACGAAGTAAAGTATGACGGGATCACTATTCATGCAGAAACACACACACTACTGCTCCAAACAGGCTATAGATTCCTGTCACAGAAAGCATGTGAAGGCCACACTTTCCCAAAATGTCCCTACTCTGTTGGTTGTAGGCTAAAACTGGTCCTCACAAAGAGAGCTGTACAAGAACACACACACACACACACACACACACACACACACACACACAC